GGACGGTCAGGCAAAAAAGGTTATAGCAAATGGGGTTACATCAGGCTGGTGACCAGTCACCAGTAGGGTTCCGCAGGGCTCCATTTTACCGCCAGTGCTTCATAAAATATTTGGATGCAGGGTTCGAAGGTATACTGAGTAAGTTTGCTGACAACACTAAACTGGGAAGAACTGTTGACTCCCTCGAAGGCAGAGAGGCCTCTTGACAAGTTAAAGGGCTGGGCAATCACCAACCGTATCCAGTTTAACAAGGGAAAGTGACAGATTCTGCAGCTCAAACAGGCCAACCCTGGATGTATGTACAGACTGAGGAACAAGAGGCTGGAAAGCAGCAGTGTGGAAAGGGACCTGGGGGCCCCAGTCAACGGCAAGTTGAATATGAGTCAGCAGTGTGCCCTGGCAGCCAAAAGGACCAACTGTATCTTGGGGTGCATCAGGCACATCATCGCCAGTCGGTTGAAGGAGGTGATCGTCCTACTCCACTCTGCACTGGTGTGGCCTCACCTCAAGTCCTGTGTGTAGTTCTGGGTGCCACAATATAAGAAGGATATAAAGCTATTAAAGAGTGTCCAAAGAAGGGCCGTGAAGCCGGTGAAGGGTCTAGAGGGGGAGCCGTATGAGGAGCGGCTGAGATCACTCGGTTTGTTCAGCCTAGAGAAGAGGAGACTGAGGGAAGACCTCATTGTGGTCTTCAACAACCTCATGAGAGGAAGTGGAAGGGCAGACACTGATCTCTTCTGTCTGGTGACCAGTGATAGGAACCAGGGGAAAGGCACTGTAGTGGGTTGGCCTTGGCTGGACACCAGGTGCCCACCAAGCTGCTCTATCACTCCCCTTCTCAACCGGACGGGGGAGAGAGAATAAGACGGAAAAAGGACTCGTAGGTTGAGATAAGACAGTTTACTAAAGCAAAAGCGAAAGTTTGCACTCACACCTAATTTATATATCTTCTGACTATCCCCTCTCCTTTTACAGATAGGTATTATGTTCCCATTTTCACGGGTTTCTTCCACCCCTCCAGATCTTTGGCTCCATTCCATCAGGATGGGTACTCAGGACCTTAGAAGCAACACAATCAATCATTGGGCACTGTGGGGGTCGAGGGGGACCCCGTGCAAGAAATAGGCGAGGAGATGAATTGGTTTGGAAATTTGTCTTTGCTCAAGAAACCTGTCATGGCTAAAGAAATATACGTTGAGAGAATTGTGTGAGAACAACCACTTTTGTCTTTCCCTCTTACATGCCAGAGAAAAACTCCCCCTGTGGGCAGCTCCCTGGAAGAGATAAAACAGATGTTACAAGCAAGCACAGCAGAGAGGCCAGAGAGATAATAGAACTAAAGAAGAAGGAGGAGGCATCTATCTCTCTCTCTCTCTCTCTCTCAGGCCCAGCGTTGCTTTGCAGCCTGGTGCAGGTTTCCTTTGCAAGTTGTTCAGTGTTCTGGCTGTTGCCTAAAAGGCTGCAGAGGAAAAAAGACTCCAGGTCAAATTAGGTAGGAGGTAAGATAAGCAGCAGAGGTTTTCATGAGCCTGGAGGCTCCAGGAATACAAACCCATGCGCACGCTTTCGAACACAGGTGTTACAATTTTTATAATGATTTCCATCCAATTCCTGTCCAGCCACTGCCCCGGCTCTGGTCTTGAAGGCCGTTGTGTCTATATCTTCTTGCGCAGATTTTAGGGTGTTCTCTACAATTCTACCTTGAAAATGAGACTAAACAGGCTAATGGAATTTAGGGGGATTGATATGGGAATTGGGTAACAGGGTTGGCTATGTGTAACTACTGTGTTAAGGGTAAGGGATAAAATGCAGCTACGTTAAAATCTACGTTCACTACACAACTACTTCTAAAATCTACAAAAATTTAAAAAAATCAAAACCCCTAAGGCAACAGGCCTTCAAAATAAACCTTTTTGAATTCTTTCCACTGCCTTGGCATTTTTGGGGGATACCTGCATATATCTTACTTTACAGGCACCGACACCAGCCCAGCTTTGGTCATGGTCGCACTCTCCTTGCTCCTCACAAAATTCGTTCATCATTGGCCTGCTACTTTACTTCCTGCAACATACAACTTAAACCACAGATTATTTTCCCCCCAAGGTTAAATCTCCTTGAGGCACACACCGGGTTTGCCCATCCTTCCGCATTACCCACCAGGTACACTCTGGTCCCTGAGCAAAGACAATCCCACGGAGGGGTTTGCCTTTTACCATGGGAGGAGAAACCCACACCGACTTCTCCAGACACTTCCCCATGTGTAGTATCGGGACCTTATCTCCTCCCACAGCATGTAGGGTAAACAAGACTTGAAGCAGGGCTTGCTTTCTTTCCCTTACTATTCCTTTACATTTTGGTTTTGCATAAAATTAACTGCAACATAATCACCATAAAAAGTGGGCCCTGTGATCATGATGCTTGATCAACATGAAAAGATCAACTGTGTAAGTTAGGAACTTTTTCAGTCACTTCTCTAGAAAATGTTACATACACTATCCCAATCTCAATAATTCTACCATAGATGTCATTAATATTTGAGTAGGCGAGCAATGGGATTTCATGGCTGTGGGAACTAGGATGATGCACATGGAAATCACCCTTTTAAGAACTGTGACATGGTATTTACTACTTCTCTATATTGGACTGGTTCTGAATCAAGCAGCAGCCAAGACTCTTTATTCATATCTGTTTTTAATTTGAAGCCTTACTGAATAAAATCAAGGATGAGGAAATACTTAGATTTCTTCCAAACAGATAAATATTTTTTCCAGAAGTCTTTAGACAGGATTTTGACCTACTTTACAGAAACTAGAGGTGGGCACAATCTAGCTACTCAACCACTTCTGTGCAACCTGGAAATTTCTTCCTTTCTTCCTTTGACGGGTCACAAAACTGTTTTGTCCAATGTGTAGAGATATGCTGTAAAAACCTGGTAGAGTTACTTTAAAGCAACCCCATATCTTCTGCAGCTGAGCATCTGAGTATCAACCTGAGCAGCAATCCTGCATTTCTCTTACAAAAATCAACTACCCACCCTGTAAGATAATCAGTTACTGATGCCAAGGACGGTAAGAGGGAGGCAGTCACATATGAAGCTCTAAACAGGCACATTTACGTGATGAAGACCGCTATGCTTGCCTCTGAAATTGTGCAAAGCATTTGACACTGTCATGCACAACGTCCTTGTCTCCAAACTGGAGAGGCATGGACTTGACAGATGGACCACTCTTGCAGTGGATAAGGAATTGGTAGGGTGGTTGCACTCAAAGAGTTGTGGTCAATGGTTCTATGTCCAAGTGCAGATCAGTGACAAGTGGCATTCCTCAGGGGTCAATGTTGGAACCAGCGCTGTTTAACATCTTTGTCAGCAACATAGGCAGCGGGATTGAGTGTACCCTCGGAAAGTTTGCCGATGACACCAGTCTGTGTGGTGCGGTCTACATGCTGGAGGGAAGGGTTGCCATGCAGAGGGGCCTTGACAGGCTTGAGAGGTGGGCCAGTGCAAACCTCACGAAGTTCAACAAGGACAAGAGAATGGTCCTGCACCTGGGTCAGGGCAATCCCAAGCTCAAATACAGGCTGGGCGGAGAATGGATTGAGAGCAGCCCTGAGGAGAAGGACTTGGAGGTGTTGGTGGATGAGAAGGTTGACATGACCCAGTAATGTGTGCTTGCAGCCAGGGTTGATCCTGGCTGGATGCCAGGTACCCACTAAAGCCACTCTCTTCCTTCCCCTCTGCAACTGGACAGAGGAAAAAAAAAAAAAATCAGCGAAGGATTCATGAAGTGAGATAAGAGCTGGGAGAGGTCACTTGCTGATCATCATCAGCAGCAAAACAGACTCAAAGTGGGGATATTAATCGAATTTATTACTAACAGGGTCAGAGCAAAAGAGTGAGAAGTAAAATAATCTTAAAAACACCTTCCTCCCACCCCTCCTTCCTTCCAAGTTCTACCTTCTCCCCAACAGCGGTTCAGGGAGACAGAGAATGAGGGTTACGGTCAGTTGTTGTTTCTACTGCTGCTCAGAGTCCTTCCCCTGCTTCCCGTGGGATCCCTCCCACAGGAGACAGTCCTTCACAAACCTCTCCAGCGTGAGTCCATCCCACGGGCAACAGTTCTTCACAAAACTGCTGTCCCATGGGTCACTTCTCCATGGGGTGCAGTCCTTCACAGATGAGCTGTACCGACGTGGGTCCCCCACAGGACCACAAATCCTACCAGGGAAAAACCTGCTCTCCGCGTACTGCAGGTCCCCCGCAGGACTGTTCCATCTTGGGCCTCCCACGGGGTCACAGCCTCCTTCGCATATCCACCTGCTCCGGCATGGGCTCCACCACGGGCTACAGGTGGGTGTCTGCACCCCCATGGTCCTCCATGGGCTGCAGGGGGACAACCTGCTTCACCCTGGTCTTCACCATGGGCTGTAGAGGCCTCAGCTCCGGTGCCAGGAGTACCTCCTCCCCCTCCTTCTGCACTGACCTTGCTGTCTACGTTGTTTTTCACATGTTCTTACTCCACTCTTCCCTTGCTGGATTTTTCATCTGTGCAATAGATTTCTTTTCTTAAATATGTTATCACAGAGGCATTACTATCACTCTTGTTTGGCTCAGCCTTGTCTAGAGACAGGAAGACCATCCTGTAACCAGCTGGCATTGGCTCCACGAGAGAGGGGAAGCTTCTAGCAGCTTCTAACAGAAACCACCCCTGTAGCCCCCTTGCTACCAAAATCTAACCACAGAAACGCACTACAGGGCCCCTTCCAACCCAAACCATTCTGTGATTCTATGAATTTTCTAGAGTGGCATTTCTGGTCCATACACATGCCATGTGTATTCCTGAAGACGTGAGCAATCACAGTAGTTGCTGCGGCCAGTGTGTGTTGTCCTGTGTAACCTGAGGGCTGTCACACAGTGGAATGTATAACTAGCTCTGGGAAAGCACTGGTTTAAACCATGCTGGTTGAATTTAATGTCTTCTTTTTCCTCTCTGCGCTTGCAGGTCAAAAGATTCTTCACCACAGAAGTGATGCCTTAGAAACTGTAGTCCTGATCAATCCCTCAGATGAAGCAGTTAGTACTGAGGTAAGTCAGTCAAAAATATTTCACTAGATGTGTAATACAAACTCCATTAAGTGGACAGGTTGAGTGAAGCTCCTAACTGTGAACAAAAGGACATGCTAGAAACAAATATCATCAAAAACATCCAAAAAAGCCCTTGATTTTTTCCTGGTTTCCTGGTGTCATGGGTGGGAGTGGAAGGTTTAGACAAAATTTATTAAAAAGCCCTGACGTTGAGTCATGAGGTGCAGAAAGGCCTCCCTTGCTTTCTAAACCCCATCTCAGTGAGGAATCTAGGTGTGGCTGAATCCAATCTTAGCCTTGGATTATGTCAATGGTTTAAATTTAAGGAATTACAGAGGTATGATTGAACCACTTTTGTCCCGCAGGTCTTAATGATTGGCAAAATGAGAATATTTATGTAAAATGAATAATTTATTATTACAAACGATCAGACAAAAGATCTTAATCAGAATTATTTACTACACAGTATAAATGCTAAAACTACTAGTAGTGTAGTATAAGATAGGACAGTGCACTATATTGAAGCAATTATTGAAACAATTACATTAAAGATAGCAAAAAGGAAATAATTTTTAAGTAGAGATTTGATGTAACTAACTCATACCAATGCTCGTGGAGGGATCTCTTTCTCTCAACCTTGAGGAGTATCCTTGGAGGACGTCCCCAGCCAAGGGAGGAATCTCCACACATACACCCCAAGAAGGGTTATGTTAGAAGAACCTGGCTGTATGAAAGGGGAGTGGACTTTTAAAGTGATTGACTGCTAGTCACACATCTACAGGCCAGTTACCAGCTTATCTGAAGTCTGGTGAAGCAGGATGGTTTTAGCATAATGAACACCAAGACAGCACCCTGGCACCAGCAGTTGAACTGGCATGATAACTTGCCTGATGGCTTGCATTGTATGCATTCTCTGATTGAATTTTAGATCTTGTCAGGTAGGGGTTATCCTGCCACACCCAGACTCCTGATAAAGTTTCAAAGACATAGGACAGAAACACACCACTTAGCCAGCACTCATTTCCTCATAACACACCAAGTTCCCTTCTTGATGAAGTGAAGGCAGCTGTGGTAAAACTGCACCTGGTTTTCTTCTGTTCCTCCATTGTTTGGTAGCTCTGGTTGCCTTTTTTACATATGAAAAAGTGTCTGAAAAGAAACCAGATGCCATGAGATAAATATAGGTCCTCCAGAAGAATGATCATCTATGTGGTTGTGACTCTAGGTTGATCTATGTGATCTGTCCTTCAAAAACCGCATGACATGATCAGTGGACTCTCAAGAGTACCCTAGAAGAGGACTGTCAGTTCCTCATGAACTTGCTAGAGTAGAGCCAAAGAATTGAGCATGTAGCTCAAAGAAAAAAATTACAAATTTAGCTAATGATACTGAAGGTTGTAAGAATTAGAGATAATTACATTGCTAGCCAGTGCTAGGAAGCACTGGCATGGTACAATTTATTTTGGGAAATGAAGTGACTCTGCTTGCAGTCTTTTGTGAAAAATCTATTTGTTTACCAGCCTTAAACGATATTAAACACAAACAGGAAGAAACTGTCATGGTTTGACCTCAGTCGGCAACTAAGTGCCATGCAGCCACTCACTTCCTCCATGCCGGGGAAAAAGAGAATCCTAAAAAAAAAAGTAAACCTCGTGGGTAGAACCAAGAACAGTTTAATAATGGAAACAAAATAAAATGTAATCAAATATAAGAATGATAATAATAATAACAATAATAATAGTAATGAAAAGGAGAGAGAGAAATTAATAGAACCCAAGAGAAAGAAGTGATGCACAATAGCTCACCACCTTCTGACCAATACCCAGTTAGTCCCCTCCCGTCAACTCCCCCTAGTTTATATACTTAGCATGACATTCTATGGTATGGAATATCCCTTTGGCCAGTTCAGGTCAGCTGCCCCAAACTTCAATCTCTCTTCCTACACCTCTCAAGTGGATGGACTACAAGATGGTGACTGGAAGAGCATAGTCCCTCCCACTGTAAGAAAACATCTGGGATCGACATAATTTATTAGTATGTTTTGAAAAAAGGTCTTGGGTTGGCACACTTAAAAAAGTTAAAGTGTCTATAGTTAGTGATATCATGAGATGTAAATAGTACATGTGACTGTATCTGAGTGCTTGATTATGATTATGGTGAAACAGAAACATCCTTTAACTTTGTAGATAATTGAACAGAATGATAGTCTAAATATACCACTTTTATGCGTGATTTGTGGATATTACTTTTTAGTGACATTTTTGCAACTGAATGAGAAGTAATACTGTAAACTGGAAAAAGAAAATTTGCCTTCCAAAAGCAGTCTGACACATTAACATGTGGGACACAGCTGACCAAGGCTGTCCTGATATACTGCTATTAAAATTCAACAAGAGTTATTGAAGAAATGTATTTTTTTCTGGTCCCTTGCTGCCTGGAAAAGAGACATCTTTCCCCTGTGCAGGGTGGGGAGTGGGGAGTGATGAAGGGTCCCACCAGGAGATACTGCGAGAACTTAAGAGGATAAAACTTGCTACCAGGATCGGAACACTCCCTTTTTGATTCCTGAGACTGCAGCTGGGAGGGAGTTTTTGGTCGCTGAACCCCTGGAGCCACCCCACACCCCAGCTTTTGCAGTTCCTGTCCAGGCAACCCCCCCCCCTCCCCCCGATTGATGCCTTAAATGACCAGAAAGAAACCTCTAACACTCCTTTTTGAGTATTAGAAAGCAAAACATTCTTTATTTACAGAATGCTGAGTGCATTGGAATAATTCCCAAAGTACACACACGGAGTTACAGAGGTGTTGTAGTTTTATACTAATATCTAATATTACATAATCTGTTATATCCACTTCCCAAAACCGTCCATCCCATTGGACCTCCCTTATCCCACCTTAGACACATCTTTCAAATTTGATTCAGAGATCTCAACAACCCTTTATCTTCATCGTGTTCCTCTTCCTTATCTTGTTCCTTGGTCTTTGGCACAGTAGCATGCCTTCTGGAACAGTTTCAAGGTTTCTGAGTAGCTCTGACAGTTATATCAAGCAATGTGCCTTTTATGTCTTTTACTACAGACAAAATGTTCTTTATCTTGTTACAATCTTTGTCCATTGGAATTCTTGACAAGAAATATTAAACAACATTTTTAGAAGTCTTGTACAAACGTACTAACAGGTCAAAGGCACTAGCAAACTATACCAAAAGTGCTAAAAACCTATACTGTAATCTATATAATGTAGATTTTAAGGCATCATTGTTGGTCATGGTCACCAGTTGGGGAAATTCCCTTTCGTATGTGGTAAGTGGCCTCTGCATCTACTGTCTGGGAATAGCACCACCGCCACTGCAACCGCCTGAGCTGTGGCAACCCTCCTTGCCAACTGCTTTGCAGGCATGTTTTTCCATGCCTGGTGTAGGTAGTGATGTCATGTTGGTATTCTCAACTTTCAGAAATAAACTCTCCAAAATCCTTCCACTGCCTGGTCCTGAGGGTATCTGAGCTTAATCTTTCTTCACAAAGGTTTAGGGGACACCTTATCACCATGTTGCATTATTTAAAGGGTGGTCACAAAGAAGATGGAGACTCCCTTTTTACAAGGAGTTACATGGCAAAGATGAGAGGTAATGGCTACAAGTTACTCCTGGGGAGATTCTGATTGGACAAAAGAGGAAAATTTTTCACAATGAGAACAGTCAACCATTGGAATAATCTCCCCAGGGAGGTGGTGGATTCCCCAGCATTGAACACTTTTAAGATTTGGCTGGACAGGGTGCTGGGCCATCTTTTTGCTAACAGAGGTTGGACCAGATGATCCTTGAGATCCCTTCCAATCTGGTATTCTATGAAACAATTAGGACTGGTATTTTGTCCTGTTCAAAAAGAACAAATAAATCCAATCTCTGACATTTAGAGGAACTAAAAAGACTATGCTCTTTTTCAGGTAAAACTTCTTGGTTTCATAATTTCAAAAAGTTTCATTCATATATCAGTTATTATTTATTTTTGTCTTTTGAAACTGCTTTGCACTTTGAAACAAAAACTTTCTCTCTGGAAAACCTACACTTTCTGCTGAGGAAACATCAAAATAAATCAGGTAAGGAATTTCTAAAAGGTATTGCATAACAAGTGGCATACCACTAGACCAAATCTTCATCTCACCTTATGTCCCATTCATCAACAGCTGTCAAAAGTCAGTGCCTGGGGAAGGGTGGAGCAATTATGTCATGAAGCTTCCCCTGAAGGCTGCACCATCATCTGGCAGTTCAGGGACATTCTAAACCTGATCATCTGTGTTTTTATTTAGCAGGGCTAACTGGTTTTTGCTTTAGTGAATCTCAATGCCTTTTACATCACTCTGGGATTTTAGCACTGTCTCAGTTTAAATGAGACACAAGTGTTTTGCTGAGGATGAGTTATGAGCAAGACCCAAACTCCTCCCTCTAAGCAATTGTAAATCCGAAATAAGAGGCTCCAACTGAGGGAAAAAAGTGGAAAAAGGAAGAATAACAGTCCTTTATTTAAAGATATATGTGTATTGGCAGAAACAATGAAAGAAAACAAGTAAAACAACCAAACATTACTCCTATACCCCCCAAAAAAATCCCCTTCAAAACAAACAAAAAAACAAAAACAAACAAACAAAAAAGGTAAACAGTTCTGTTTGTGCCCTTGGGTGCAATTCTAACCACAGTCAGCAGGGGGCACTGTTGGATCATCAGAGATGCAGAACTTGTAGTGTCCCATGACAGTCAGCAGGGGACACTGTTGGATCACTGGAAATGCAGAACCTGCAGTGTTTTGTGCTGGTCAGCAGGGAGCGCTGTTGGATCACTGGTCATTGCCATGTGTGGAAACATCCTCCTGGGTGTACTGGAGAAACCGAAAATTGAGGTTTTCCCTCCCCCCCCACTGGGAAAGGGGAGAGAGAGGAGGGAGAGAAAAAAAAAGGTCCTTCCCAACAGGAACTCTGTCCTGCTGGCTGAATCTTACAGTATA